AATGTCAAATCTATCAACAGCAAAAACAAACACTAAACTCGTGGTCTGGCATTATTCTCTAGGTGGACCAGCCAGCCACTTGGTGGCAAAGCTAATTATACTCTGTCACTTCCATCATGGAATGAACAATGCTTTATTCTTACTATGGTAGAATTACTCTTGATATATATTTTTCTTCCCTAATCATAATACTTCTGCTGAAATCAACATCTATGAATTTATAAAATACCTTGGCCACCATTATGTATTTCACATAGCACTGCTTCTGACTAGGGAACTTAATTTTATAGCAAGTTAAGTATGGGAAATGGTCTAATTTTCATAGAATTCCTGTGTTTCTCATCCCTCAAAGTAGCTGGCATACAGAATAGCAGAATGGCCTTTTGAAGATTCATGGTTCTGGATAGATGGAAACACTCTATAGGACACAGATAATATGCTTCAGTATATAGTATGTGTTTCTCCTATAGCCAGAATTCACAGATCCTGGAATCAAATATTGGAAAAGGGAGTGGCTCATCTCATTATTACATCTAATGGTCCACTAGTGAAATGTCTGCCTCCCATCCCAGAAACTATGGACTCTATTGGTCTAACTCTTAATTCCCAAAGAAGAAAGGCTTCCACCATGGGACATAGCAGTAACTCCATTGAAATGGAAACTGAGAATGTCACCCAGTTATTTCTGGGCTCCTTGTGCCAGGAAACCGAAAAACAAAGAAGGTTCTTCTGTATCAGAATAATTAGTCTTGATTATCAAGGGAAAATTGGTCATAAGAAATGGTGTGTCTAGAATGCAAGACATCCCATGGGCAAGACATTCATGTTCTGTAATAAAAGTTAATAGACAAACAATCCTACTTTAAATCCAAAAGAATTGAAAGCAGGGTCTTGAAAAGATATTTTTACATACATGTTCATACCAGCACTATTCATAATAGCCAAGAGGTGGAAGCAACCCAAACTTCCATCAATGAATGAATGGATAAACAAATGTCATATATACATACCATGGAATGCTAGTATGCCTTAATAAAGGAAAAACTCATGTCACGTGCTATAACACTGGATGAACCAGTTCTCAGTTATTTCACTCCCTTGGATTTCACAAACTTAAGCTATGACCACGATAAAGTAAGGCAAGTTTGTTTTGTAAACTTCAGTGGATTTGGAGAGGGGAAAGAGAAGAAATTGGCAAATGATACCAAAAGAGACCATGACTCCATGTGTTAGGCATTTATAGGCATTCTCAGCTTCTCTGTAACGTGTTAATCTCGTAGTTAAAATGTACCAGCCATGAGGTTCACCAAAACAATTAAAAATCTCAAGAAAATACACGTTCAAGGCAATAATCCTTTATTAAAAGAAGAGAGGGCAGTTTCAGAGACTGCTGCTGAAAAAACCTTATCCTGATTTTCTCAATAGCAGTCCCTGAAACCGCCCAATTTCCAGGTGATATACACATGCCGGAAGGCATCACTGTCACTATTATTGCCTAGGGTACCTTCAGCCACTGAAGCAGAAAGAAAAGACATACCTCTGGAACAGTACAAATGACTTCCACAAAAGAAGACTCTCCTCCAGCTGCCAAACTGGAGGGCTCTGTCTCAGTCAACACAAAAGTCAATCACCCTGAAGAGGAGCCAAGACTGAGACACAACAAAAACTTACTTTTATGAACCAAATGAAGGAAAAGTCACATTCTATAAGTTTGCTAGCATCCTCAAGTAGAGGTGAAATTGTATTAGAAGAAACACTCAAGGCAGAAAGACTACTTGGATTCAAAGTGGGAAAAGATTTCTCCCTATGTGCATCCTACTATAAGAATTTCCATCAGGAAAGAAATGAGATATCAGAAAGTAGAGTGGAAAGTAGACATAGGAAAAAACAAATGACCCTGATCAAATAAATTGAGGCTATCTTGTCTAATGAGAGTAGGCAATTAAGGTGGCATTTCTGTGATCCATGTACGTTTGTGCATCTTTTCTTGAAGGTTATTCTTCCAGGTGACTCTGTGTAGGTTGCTACCAAAAAACTGCTATAATTTAAAGAATCTATGGCTATCTTTATAACCTCAAATATTTAATGCAAATGTAATCTAGACATTCAATCTGGTATTAATTCAATCACACTTTTATTCATTCACATTCAAAAAATATTTATTGAGTGCCTGTTTTGCACCAAGTATTGTCCTAGCTGTTTAAAATACATTAGTAAATAAAAGAGATAAATATCCTTGCCCTCATCTATAAAAATTAACCTATGATGGTTAGTTTTATGCGTCAACTTTACTGGGCTAAGGACACAATATAGCTGATCTGTCTAGGTTTGTCTGTGAGGGTATTTTGGAAGAGATTAGTATTTAAATAAGTAGACTGAGTAAAGAAGATTTGCCCTTGCCAATATGGGTGGACATTATCTAACCCATTGCTCCCCTACTCACCCTCCCAAGAGAACAAAAACGTGGAAGAGCAAATTCTCTTTCTTCTTGAGATGAGACTTCCATCTTCTGCCCATGGACATCAGAGCTCCTGGTTCTTGGGCGTTCCTACGCCAGGACTTACCCTGGATTATACCACCAGCTTTCCTGGTTCTTCAGCTTGCTGAGGACAGATCATGGGATTTCTGGGCTCTGTAACTGAGGTATTCCCGTAATAAATCTTTCATATATATATATGTGTGTGTGTGTGTGTGTGTGTGTGTGTGTGTGAACATAATATATATTATATAAGGTATATAAGGTATATAAGATATATATATTTCTATCTATACACATGTATGTATTTATCTATACTAATAATAGAGAAATATGCAAATTATCTGTTATAGCGTCACAACACTACCGATCAGCAGGCTGTGTCCCAGCCCTCTGCTCAGGCAGCTGCAAGGCCCGGGGTAGGATAGGATATGATAGGAGGGGATAAAAAAGGAGAGGGAGCGGAAGGCAGACCTGCATGCAGACAGGCTGAAAGGAGAAACAGAAATACAGAAAGGTAACCAAAAAAAGATGCAGGAATAGAAAAGGGAAGGAAACGAGGGGCTGCACGAGAGAAAGGGTGGTGAGGGGAGGGGTGGACAGGAGGGACGGAAAAGAGCAGGTGCGAGGGGTGGGAGCCACACCCAGATGCAGGAGGAAGGCGGTGGTTCCCAACACTGGCCATTGGCAGGGAGGCGCCCACGGGTCCCAGAAGAAGTGGTGGACGGTCCAAGACCTTCTGGGTGGAGGTGCTCCTGCTTCGCGGCAGCAGCTTCTGGGTGCACGGGCCTCAGCCACCCTCACTGGGCCAGGCATCCCAGGCAGGGAATGGGAACAGGATAGCAATGGGGAGGCCTGGGAAGTGGGAGTGGCAAACATCTGGCCATTAACCCTGCCCCACCCTGAACAGAAACTGTAAGAAGGGAGGAAGGGAAGAACATTATCAAGGAGTCAACAGAGATAGAATTAAAGAAGAAAAGAGGATGTCTGAGTGAACTGTAGGAGCTATGATGAAAATCAAGTATAGATGTGTACTGGAGACATATTTTAAAAGTAGGAGTCAGAGAAGAAAAAAAGATAAATGATAGTGAATAATTAGGCAGGTAGATAGATAAATATTAAAATAGTGGAAGTAAGTAAAGAATGTATGGGAAAGGTAGGATGAGAGAGAAAGAGGAAGGGAAGAAAAGTTTTAAAGGGGAGCTGGTCTCTAACCGGTTTGGTTCAGTGGATAGAGCGTCGCCCTATGAACTGAAGGGTCCCAGGTTCGATTCTGGTCAAGGGCATGTACCTTGGTTGCAGGCACATCCCCAGTATGTGCAGGAGGCAGTTGATTAATGTTTCTCGTCGATGTTTCTAACTCTCTATCCCTCTCCCTTCCTCTCTGTAAAAAATCAATAAAATACATTTTTTAAAAATAATAAATAAATAAAGGGGAGCCGGTAGAGCTTAAAAGGAGAATGGGAAGAAGGAAGAAATGGGGGAGGGAACAAAGCAGGTCTAAGGGAGGAAGTGAAGAAAAAAATTAAATTGGGAAGGAAGGACAGGTTTAAAGAAAAAGGAAAGAAGGAATGTGGGGAGGAAGGAAGGGCAAGAGAAAGATGGAAAGAAGGATGATGGAACAGAAATAGGAAATAAGGAGGAAAAGAAAAGTTTATAAGTAGAGTCAGTAGGAAAAACATTAAAAAACAACACAGAGCTCTGGCGCTCAATTTTAAAGTATAAGGAATTTAATTTTATGTCCTTTTTAAAGATTATAATAGAGTCAGAAAACAACTCAATAATTCAACCCTGACAGGATGGCAAAAGACAACTGAAGTAGAAAAGTAAAAGTATTTAAGTCAAAGCTACTATAACACATATAATGGCATAAGCATAAAAAATTAAGGAAGTAGAAATGGACAGCATTCATTAGGCAACTAATGCTTTTGCTAGTTCCCAAAATACAACTACCTAATATACAATTTTATAAGTTTTTTTATCCTATTAAGTGCACTGATACTAAAACCAAAATATTTTACCTAAGCATTTTTTTTTCTAGAGAGAATATATATATGGCAACAGGAAAAGAAGGAGAAAATCAGCTTAGAAAGCAACATGTAGAATGCGCAGTATTACAGCCTGTGTGTCCTACAAAACCTTTTGAATGCATGACCTTTAAGTTGCTGAAGGTTGCTTCAGAATTTGGCTCTGTTTGATGGAAACATCTGCTTCCCTTGCAGGTATACTGTAAGGACTTTTCTCTCAGTTGGATTCAGAACACAGCAAGCGAGCCCTTGTCTGTCCAATCACACAGACCCCGAGACTTGTAAATCAAGTTCTGGGAGGACAACAGCAGGTCCACACTCAGCCACCCTTTCTCAGCCAGCCAGGCCAACTGACTGCTGTGAGGACTGTTCTTATCATGTCATCAAATCAAAACATGTTGAGATGAGGGACCATAAGAGGCATCTGCAGAATTCCCAAAATGCAGTGACTTTGGAACACTGACAGATGCATCTGTCATTTTATACCTTCAACTAACCTGATGTACACTGGCCCGACACAGTAAAGCTGTCCAAGATTGATTCCAATTCTTTCACGTTATTTTCACATGTCTCTACGAGGAATGCCTGGTGCTTCTTAGCCTTTTAATTAAGAAAAAAATTACACATAATAAGGTCATGCATAAGAGCTGCAGATTTTGTGTGTAAGCATACATAGCACAATTAAGGATAAACAAGCTAATAATAACCCCACTCAAGTCCATTATTAATAAACCTCTTTCTGTCTTACTCATGCCTTTTACTTGGCTTAATGTAACATTGGATAAGGTCTCACTTAACAATTTACTGAGGCCTTAGTGTCTGGCACTATTCTAAGTATTTTTTACATAGTAATTTTTTTTTTATTCTTACAACAACCCTATGAGGGAAGGGCCTTTATTATACCAATTTTACAGATAAGAAAACTGAGACACAGAGAAATTAAAAGATCACACTGGTAATCATGTGACAACATTCATTCATTCTTGACAGACGGCGATCAAGAATGAATGTAGTAAGACCAATTAGAAGGAAATATAAGAGGAACTTAAGTCTACTTAAGAGGTGGTGGAAGCTTAGGCTATGGTCTTAGCAGTAAAAGGGGGGTTTATACACTGGAAAGATGCCAGAAGATAGAATGGCCAGACCTTGGTAACATTGTATTAGGTTAGATGGTGTTAATTGGGCTGGAATGGACTGCGCTGGGCTGCGGTGGGCTGCGGTGGGCTGCACTGGGCTGCGCTGGGCTGGATTGGATTGGATTGGATTGGATTGGATTGGATTGGATTGGATTGGATTGGATTGGATTGGGTTGGGTTGGGTTGGGTTGGGTTGGGTTGGGTTGGGTTGGGTTGTGTTGTGTTGGGTTGGGTTGGGTTGGGTTGGGTTGGGTTGGGTTGTGTTGGGTTGGATTGGATTGGAAAAGGCTGGGAAAGTGCACCGATGAAAGAAGAGCCCAAGACTGATGCCAAGTTTTTAGGCTAAGAGAACTGGGCCAATTTCAGTAGATGAGTGAGAATAGTGAAGGTGAAAAAGATCTTATTTTGGCTCTTTTTGTTTGCTTATTTTTGTTTATTAGCTTGCATGCTTGATTGTTTTTAGCAGGAAGTACCAGTCACGAATTCTATTTTTTAAAATATATTTCATTGTTTTTTGGGGGGGTTTTTGGTTTGTTTATACAGAGAGAAGGGAGAGGAATAGAAAATTAGAAACATCAATGAGAGAGAAATATCCATCAGCTGCCTCCTGCACACCCTCTACTAGGGATGTGCCCACAACCAAGGTACATGCCCTTGACCAGAATCAAACCTGGGACACACTTTAGTCTGCAGGCCAATGCTCTATCCATAGAACCAAATCAATAAATAAATATTTTTGAACTAACAACGAACAAGTAAGGTAAAAAAAAAAAAAAATGGGACGCATCTGGACATAATGGTACAAAGCTCAGTAGAAAGAACAGGGATAGGTTTGGAAATCATCTACAGATATTACCTGAAGCCTGCCTTCAGAGTGTCTGATGAGAACAGAAAAGAGCTTTTTTTTTTTTCTTTTTTTGGTGTACGGGATGACTCTGCAACCAAATAAGCCACCTGGCTAGGCTCTTAATAGCTTTTTGATGAGCAAGAAATTCTAGAATGAAAGCAGACTATATCACCTACATAAACAAAACCCTTGGGTTAAAAACAAAGTGCCAACTAAAGATAAAATACTAAGTTTCTAATTTTTGATTGACATGTTTTACCATATGACATAAAGAATAAGTTTGGTGCCGTGACCAGGTGGCTTGGTTGGCTGGAACATTGTCCTGTGCAACAAAGAGCTAAGAGTTTGATTTCCAGTCATGGCCCATGGTTAGGTTGCAGGTTTAATCCCCATTTGGGACACATGCAAATGCAGCTCATCAATGTTTCTATTTCATACAGATGTTTGAAACAGTTCTGAACATTTTTAACTCTAGTAAGTGTCTGAACTTTTAACTTGAATATATTTTAAGCCATTATAAAGGAATTCTGCATAAAAAGTGAAGCATTGGAAACTGTAATCAACATCACATCCACTTGCTCCACAGCTCTCGCCTTTTCATATTATCTTCAAGCGAGTACCTACCACTGCATACCCAGCGCTTCTGTAAGGACTGAAGGAGAGCTTGCTCAGCTGAACTGAATTTGATCTGCTTAGCTTTCACAATCGTCACTATCTGCAATTTTTTATTTGATACTATTATGGTAGCTAATATATCGTATGATGAAATGTCACCCTTATGTATCTTTACAATTAATTTATTTTTCAGTAGATGGTACCTTCCAATTTGAATAAAGGGCCTTACCTCTTCTTCTCTCTCTCTCTTTTTTTCTCTCTCACACAAACACACACACACACACACACACACACACACACACACACAGTAACATTTTACTTTTTCACAGGTCAAAAGTGAGATTTGAATTTTCAGGTACTTAATAATTTATGTAAAAATAAATTTCAAAAAGCTTTATACTAACATTATAAATTTAGAAAGTCAGCCATGTAATAAGCATTTAAATACAAATACACATATTTAATGAATATTACTTAATATTAAATTTTAAGAAACATTAAGAGAGACATAAAGTGATATTTACATTATCAAAAACAATCCTCATGTATAAATACTATTATTCTGGGTGAAAACAGGAATCAACAAATTTTTAGTAAAATTCAGAATAAAATATTTTTAGCCCAATAGTTTCAAATGCCTCTGGTAAAACCAGAAGTTTGTCCTTCTGAAGCAAACCTAAAGATTATTTGAAGCAAAATATTATCAAGAAGCATTAACTTTACCACAAAGCATGGCAATCAAAGCACTTTCCCAAATTCTATCTAATGCTAGCAATCATTATCATTATATAATAAGCCAAGTCCCAAAGTATAGGGAATATTTTATATATATATATATATATATATATATATATATATATATATATATATATATATATATATTTGACCATTTTCAATTACAGTTCTTTAGAGAATAAAATATGCTTTGAGCAAAACCTCATGAGAACTAGAATTCCCTTTCCAATATATGGTCTCTCCTAGAGCTGAACTAAATATTACTGAGTGGCAGAAAAACAAATCTCAAGAAATGATGGGCTTAAAAAATTTCATTGTAGAAAGCACAAAGCAAGTTCTAATAATACCAATTTGAAAATGATAGCTCCCCAGCTTCAAGAGAAGCAGATGAAAACTCACAATAATGACTAAAAAACCAACTGATCCGCTGAGCCTCTGGACCTTAATAAGTGTGATCACTGAGCAGCCTCAACTGGAAATTCTGTTTTATTTAGTGCTTGATTAAATTATTATTAAACTCATAGGTTTTGAAATTAATAGTTCAATTTTAATCAAAACTTTTTAAAGTCAAATTCAATACTGTATAACACAGAATACAAAACTAATTTTGTTAAATCCTTAGGTGTCCAATGTTGAAATTCTATTAATTCTGTGACATTAAAGATAATAATATACTATTTTTTGACTAATCATAACTTTAATTATTAATTTCATTAATATAAAATCACAATTAAAGTCGGCTGGGTTTTAAATTTTTTACTTTTTCCAAAATTATGTTCTATATTTGTATTATATCTCTTGACACTGGGGAGCTATCATTTTCTAACTGGTTTGTTAATATCTTGTGTATCCTGACCAAGATGAACTCTATGACCTCTTCCAGCTTTAAAAAGCTATAATATACTATATTATACAATTGTTATTACTTTTTTTTTTACAATTATATTTCTAAGTCTCAAAACTTCCTTAAGTCTTTGCATACCTTTATCTCACTAGCAAACCTATGGAGGAAAGAGGCTTTAATCTTCTCTTGCAATGCAACAGAGAAAATAAAAACTAAGACTTGAATAATGACCATGAACATGACCTAAACTAGAAAACAAGCTGTTACCTCAAAGGGAGAGAAAAATTACCTGTAGGTAATTGCTGCTTCTCATCTATAATCTATAAAATACTGGAATTATTATGTTCAAAAGAAATATGGGAAAGACACACTAGAGTACATAGGGTCATGAAATGTCATTAAAACAAAGTTTCATTTCCAAAACAAAAGGTAAAACCTTCCTAAATTATTTTATTTTTGGTCAAAACCAATTATGAATTCAAAGCAAAAATAACAGCTAGACTTTGAGAATGCAGAAACAGAAAAATTCCATTTTCTGTGCTTAAACTTCTTAATTTGATAGATATCTTTTCATAGAACAAATTTTAAAAACCCACTCCCAAAAGCCACTAATCTATTGAAAGGGGAAAAAAGGCAATATAGGAATACATACAACAAAAATAATTTTAGAAAAAATTATAGATTTTTTTTATTTTTTAAAAATTGTACGTATTATTTAGTGTGATGCTATTTTCATTAAATAAATTTTTATTAAATCATTTTAAATTTTCTTACTTTAGTGAGGTAGAGAGGTAGAGAACAACAGTTCCGATTAGCATAAAACAGAGCAAGTTAAAAGAGAGAGCTAATCATAATGAAGGAAAAAAAGAGGAGGAGAAGAAAACAGAAAGATGGAAGAAAATAAGACATGAAGCTAGAGGTTTAAGAGAAAAGAAAAAATGAAGAGAAAACTATAAATAGTTAGGTTGAACCATATAAACTACAAATCATTTAGGCTGCAAGCTGAGTACGTTTTTTGAACATCCCTTTAACTCCTAAGCAAGAAACTATTCACAGATCTTCAACTGCTTTTAGTAATGCATCAAGCTTTGAAGAAACAACACCCAATCTTCATCACTATGATAAAACAATAGTGCTTTATAGGATGACTGCCAAGGGCCCAAATAAGCAGACAGAGGTTGCTAGTAAACTACAATTTGCCTCATTTCAGATCATTTACCAACTTATCAATGTTAAAAAATGTACATTTTTTTCAACCACAAAGCACCCCCCATACCCTCAGAAGTCTTCTTTTATTTTGTATCTAGTCATTGGAGTGCTGGAAGGACAGAATTAGGAGGATGCATGCAACTTATATTGGCGACTGTGTTCTTTACTGTTACATTCCCAGTTATCACTGCTGCTCACTTTCCAAACTATTTAGTACAGTAACTCACAAGCAAGCAGACCAAATCCAAGACTCAGCTCAATAACTCCTGCATGTTTTTACCCACCACTGACTCAACTTCCTAAATCAGGAGTCAAGAGATGGAACAGCCCATGAAATCTAGCATAGCACCTACCAGGCACCAGATCATGCTACCCAGAGAGCTCTAAACTTTCTAAAACCCCACATCCAAGTACTTAAACATCAAATTCAACCACAGAGGAGACGATACCAATCCCTGCATCAGAACACACTGACCATCTTGAATTGAATGAAGAATGTGTGTGTGTGTGTATATATATATATATATATATATATATATATATATATATATAGATCATTTGAAAATTACAGCATTTCAGTTTTATACCATCTTTACCTCTTAACCTGGGCAGCATCGATTTGGCCACCACTTCTTAGTATAACCTCAAGTTTCTTAACAAGAAGAAAAAATACTTATTTCCCTCAATAACTGATATCACTAGGAGTTATGAAATATAGTTGAAATTGAAGTAGACCAAGAGGAAATGGGGCGTTACTGTACACCTTATGCTTTCTCTCATCATTGGTGTTTCTATCTCTCTCTTCCTCTCAGCAAACTGCAGAGTAGGAGTATGCTGCATCAGCCCAGCCAGTTTAAATCCCCCCAACAGTGGTCAGCAAACCGCGGCTCGCGAGCCACATGAGGCTCTTTGGCCCCTTGAGTGTGGCTCTTCCACAAAATACCACAGCCTGGGTGAGTCTATTTTGAAGAAGTGGCGTTAGAAGAAGTTTAAGTTTAAAAATTTGGCTCTCAAAAGAAATTTCAATTGTTGCACTGTTGATATTTGGCTCTGTTGACTAAAGAGTTTGCCGACCACTGGCCTAGCATATGTTTCTTGAGGCAAGTACTATAGTGTGATCTTGGTATATGGGATGATTTAAGTTAACTTCAATGCAGTCACAATTTTTAGGACACATCAGATTTTGGTAAGTGCCATTTTAAAGATGCTAAACAAAGTACTAAAGAAATACAAAGTGGGGGAGGGGCAGGATTCTCAGTTAAGGTAGATAATAAAGTAGTGAAAGAGGAAATCACGGATAGCTTCACAGATTGCAAGGTTATCAGAGTGGGGTGTTAAAGGATATACAGGAAATGTAAATAGAAAAAAGAGGAGCATTTTAATCAATGTGGGTCAAAGAAAAAGACAACTTGAATAAAAGCAAGAAGATATAATAATGCATATGTGTTTAGGAAGCCAAAGGACTCTACTGTGACTGGACTAAGACAATGGCAAAAGGAGAAGCTAGGAACGTTAGCAGGGAGCCCAAAGACAGGGGCCTTAGACAAGAAGCTGGACTTTATTCAGAAAGCAACAGGGAGACATTGATGGTTGTTTTTTTTTAATAAAGGGTGACAGTAACAGATCAATATTTTAGAAAGATAAACTTGGTGATAGTGTGCAAGCTAGTTTATTGCGGAATGGAAACAAAGTTATCAGGTACAAAATCATTACAAAAGGGAGTCTTTTAGATGTGCTAATTATAAATCCTGCTTCCCTCCCCCCCATCCACCTAGGGAACATTGTTTTATGCACCTAAAAATAAATGAAAAGGTAAGCAAAAACCACAAAATAAATTTTAAGACATTCTATAAATTCAGTTTTCACAAATTCAATTCATTTTCCCAATAATTCCAAAAGAGAGAGGTTTTATTATGTACATCTTAGTTGTAATCAGCATCTCTAGTTTTAAAATTTTATATCAATGTCACTAAAATTACTTTCCAACTATTATCTCATAGCATGTTATGAGAAAAAAAAAACCTGTTAAACATCAAATATGACCCAATAAAATAATTGCCATAGGGTTTTTTATCCTTACCATTACAAGTTCTTCCTGTAATTCACTGCAACTTTTTTCATTATACTGGAGTCTCTTTGAAAGATCTGTAATTACTTTCCTCTGCTCCTCAATCTCTTCATTTAGTTTCTTGTTTTTGGAAAAATACTCTCTTTCTACTCTGCAAAGTTGAAGTGTCAGAGTAAGTTTTTCAAATATGCTTTTTATCAAGTCCTAATATATACCTGTTAGACAAGTGGCATATGTACTTTCAAGACAAAAGGCTTTACGTGGTCAAAAAAAGGAAAGAAAAAAATATATATATTTTTTTTTAATAAAATCCTTATTTTTTTGCAGATAAAAGGGGTTGCACATTCTTAAATATCTTTTGTTAGCAGATATTTGTATATGCCCAACTTTATAAGCAGGATATGTTTTGTGTTGATTTGATCCACAAGCATGGATGTATGGAATAGAATGACAGATCTCAGAGGGGAGGAGAGTAAAGAGGATGGGAAGAGATTAACCAAAGAATATATATACATATATACATAACCCATGTATACAGACAATAGTGTGGGGAAAGTCTGGGGTGGGGCAGGGTATGGGGTGGAGGAGGGCAAAGGTGAGGGGTGGGGCACATCTGTAATATTGACAACAATAATTTTTATTAAAATTCTCTATTAAAAAGTATTGTTATTCAGCAAATATAAAATTAATGCAACTGTTATTTGGGGTTTTTTATAAATAAAATCCAAACTGAGTCCATTGAAATGAGACCATCCTCTTACTGTCAGGAATCTCATGCACAATCCAAAAAAGTTGGTTCCTACACTTCTGCCAACAGCCCCACCCACGGGAAGCGAGCAGGGCAGGAGTGGACTGAAGATTAATGGGAGCCCTGCCTCTTGGAATTCTAATAGAGAAGAGTTGGGACTTAAAAGATGGAGAATTTAGGCAAGAAAGGGGAAAAAAAGAAGGTGGAAGTAGAAAAGATACCTTCTTTCCTGCCGCATTCCTATTCTATTATTTTTTTAAACAGCTCAGCTAAGAATGTAACAACAGCCCGGCTAGTGTGGTTCAATGGCTGACCTATGAACCAGAAAGCCACGATTTGATTCCTAGTTAGGGGTGTGCAGGAGTTTCTATCTCTCTCTCCCTCTCCCTTCCTCTCTGAAATCAATAAAAATACATTTTTTAAATTACTGGCTGAGTCCAGGGATTATGCATATACGCATACAAGTTCTCTGAGATTGGACAATCTGTTCCATGCTTCTATGTCTCTGAAGGCCTGGGGTGGGTGGTGGGGGAAAAGTCAATGGGGAAAAAGAGGAATTATGTAACACTTCCAACAATAAAGGTTTTTTTTAATTATTGGTTGAAAATATTATAAAGCATTACTAATAATAGTAATCAAAGTGAAAGAGTTTTAAATTTTTTCAAACTCTGTCTTTCAAGTGCCATCTTTATAATTTTTGCCATACTCATAATAATTAAGATTGAAATAATACTTTAAGTTAAATTAAGTATTGTAAAAGGAATCTTTATATTACTGCTTTAAATGGAAAACCATAAACTACTTGTCATAAATTGAAACAAGCATTAAAAATAAATATAGCCGAAACCGGTTTGGCTCAGTGGGTAGAGCATCGGCCTGTGGACTGAAAGGTCTCAGGTTCGATTCCAGTCAAGGGCATGTACCTTGGTTGCGGGCACATCCCCAGTAGGGAGTGTGCAAGAGGCATCTGATCAATGATTCTCTCTTATTGATTTTTCTAACTATCTCTCTCCCTTCCTCTCTGTAAAAAATCAATAAAATATATTTTTAAATAAATAAATAAATAAAAATAAATACATAGCTCTAATTGCCAACCTATTATCAAGTCCATAACAATGGTGGAAAAATAGGGGAAATGATTTGAAATGTTTCTAATGACTTTTGGAGGGAACATATTTTAAAAGTATAAATTTCTTAAAGCATTCCACAAAACATTCCAGATAAAAGGCTGTTGCATTGAAAAAGGTTAAAATTAGTAGGAGTCAGAAAGATCATGACCTGCCACTTATTGCCTGTGTGTCCTTACCCTCATTAAGCCTCAATTTCCACCTCTGGAAAACGGAGATAAGAAGAGTAGCTACCTCATAAGCTGTTATATAAATTGAGGGAAACCACGCGATGCTGGGCCAGAAGTAAGCACACATACTAACCACTAGTATACATTACTCTACTATTATTTCTGCAGTTTGAGAAAATCTTAAACATTATCCATCTCCTCACAGACCATTTGAGGTTAGCCTAGAAATCAAGGTCTTTTAAGATACTGTATTATCTCAGCAGAAATCATATAAAATGCATTAAAACATTTACTTTCTAGCGCAATAATTGCATTTCTGAGACTACTTGAAGCAGCTATGATACTTAAAAATCCAAGAGCATTTACATATTTACCTGTACAGGGAAGTATAGTTATCATTCATGAAGTCCTTCACCCCCACTCTACCACTGACATTAACGGGAGCTATATCTAAAATACTACACATTCACACTTATATAAGTTTCATAAACTCTTTAAATTAGTTTAGAGAATTGTACAATAAAACACTTACAAACTTAGTTTTGCAAAGCTCTCTTGTGCATTATGCTTTTCTCGCTCATATGCACTTTCAACTTCTTTGAATTCATTCTTGATCATTTCCAAATCAGCAACAGCTTCTGCCTGGCTGGCCTTTTCTACCTGCAAAGCTCCTTCAAGGTCTCGAATCCGCAACTACCAGATGAGAGAAAAGTAATTAAAGCGAGCAAGGAAATGCATCAATCTCAAATTGAGTAGAATACTTTTATCAACAGCAGATTATCATCCATTCAACACTTCTTTCTTTCTGCTTTGGTTTAAAAAGGGAAATAGAGAAAAGACAGTTTATTCCCTTTCCCGACATGTTTGTTTGTTATTGTTGTTGTTTAAAGATTTTTTTAATTTAATTTTTAGAGAGATGAAGGGAGAGGGAGAGTCAAATAAAAAATCCATGTGAAAGCAGAACATTGATAGGTTGCCTCCTCCTCATCCCCTACCAGGGATCGAGCCCTCAACCCGAGCATTATCCTTGACCAGGAGTCCAACAGGCAACCTTCTGGTGCACTGGAGGATGCCCAACCAATTGAGCCACACCAGCCAGGGCTTTCTCAACATGTTTAACAAAAGGGAGGAAGAGTGGAAGAATAGTTAACTGTGCTAGGGAAAAATATAGGCTGGATATGATATAACTTGCCACATCCAAGTGCCTAATTTTGACCTCCTAGTCCCTTGATATTTCTTTTCTAAAAATAATAAATGATGTTTTTTTTCAACTAAAGGCAATTGTTCTTCCCCTGTTTGAGAGACAGCATTATATCTTTATAGGCCTAACAAAGTTAACATATCTTTTTAATTCCCCTCTCAGATTTAATCCTCTTTATTATATTCCCATAGTATTTTAGTATTTTATATTTTTATCTCTTCATCTATCTATATATCCATATAGTATTTCTGGTGATGGAATGTAAGTGCCAAAAGAAGCTCCTTCACTTTTTTACCTGCAGCTTTTAATACACTGATAAGCAATATGTATAGGATAAACACTCAATAAATAAAGTTGCATATTTTTAATGTTTTCCAAAATAAATTCATCCTTTTACTGTGAATAAAAAGAACATTCTGATCAGCAAATCTTTCTGGGCCAGATAATAAAATTTTGGACTCTGCAGGCCATGAGGTGTCTGCTGCAACAACTTCACTTCGCCACTGTAGCATAAAAGTAGATGAGATAAAAATTCACAAGACCAGGCAGTGAAATCTGGCCTGTGCGCTGACCTGTGCAAACTCCTCCTCTAATACAGTCAAGACTATAGCCCTACAGTAAATAGGATAATGAGTATCTTAACAATATGCTACCCATCCTAAATGCACACCTTGGTTCTCTAAGTATAATGCTGTTTTTCCCAGCTTAATAAAGTCCATACAAAAAAAAAGTTGTTCACATTTTACCTGAATAATTTCAGAATTAAATTTTGATTCCAAATGTGCTGCTCTTTCTGCTTCAATATTTTCTTCTAATTTCCTCACTCTTAGTGTAGTTGCCTGAAAGCAAATTAAAAGTTTGTTTTAAATAAACATCAATATGTAAAGTGGATATGGTTGACTATAGTCTAGAATTGTAATTAACACTTTAAATTACCATGGCCTCTCTTCTTTACTTTGCAGGAGTGTAAAAGTCATGTTAAAAAAGCCCAGCCAGCATGGTTCAGTGGTTGAGCATCGACCTATGAACCAGTTCGATTTCCAGTCGGGGTCCATGCACAGGTTGCGGGCTCCATTCCCAGTATGGGGCATGCAGAAGGCAGCCAATCAATCTTTCTCTCTCATCATAGATGTTTCTATCTCTCTCTCCCTCTACCTTCCTCTCCGAAATCAATAAAAATCTTTTTTATTTAATTCAAGTAAAAGTCATGCTCAGAAAGACTGTTCCAGAGCTTGCTTTCTTTTTCCTTTTTATTAAGGTATAATTTACATGTAATAAACTTCATATATTGAACGTATATAATTTGATGTTTTGACAACAGAGACACCCAAGAAATCACTGTCATAATCAAAACAAGAAATATTTCTAGTATCCCTTGAAGATTCCTTGTACCCCTTAGTAATTCCTCCATCCAGTGCTGACCACTGCATGCCTATACAGAAATAGCTGCTCATCTGTTCTTTGTCACTACAGGTCAATTTATATTTTCTGGAATTTTATATAAATTGAACCATACATTGTGTACCCTTGATTATTTGCCTTTTTCCCCAGCATAATTATTTTAAAATTCATCCATGTGGTTATGCATATCAATAGTTCATTCCCAATGGTGTATCTCTTCATCTGCTGATGAACATTTGAATTGTTTCCAGTTTGGAAAGTTACAGCTGAAACTGTTATGAGCATTTGTATGGACATACACTCTCACTTCTCTGGGGTAAATAGTGAAGAGTATAATGATTGGGTCAAATTGTAGATGTACATTTAATTTTTATGAAACTGTAAACTGTTTTTCATACTGTTTCCTTTTATACATCAGCACCAACATTTGACATAGTCATATTTGTGTATGTCTTTTTGGGGGGAAAGGAGGAATTAGACATTCAAATAGGAACGTAATAGTATCTCATTTTAGTTTGAGTTCGCATCTCCCTAATGGTTAATGACAATGAGTGAAAAAATGTATGCACACTTAACAGCTGATAGCTCAAATTATGTTTCTTTCTTTTCAGATTTAACCCCTCTGGAATTAATGATTCAAATTGTACACACATTTTTTTTTAGCATAAGCAAAGAGAAATGAAAACATGTTTAAACAAAAACTTACACACAAAATGTTCATACAGCATTTTTCATAATAACCAAAAGTGGAAGCAACCTGAATGACCGTCACTTGGTGAATGGATAAACAAATTGTGATATACCTGTAAATGGAACAGTACTCAGCCATAAAAATTAAGTAATGATACATGCTACAACTGACAGGAACCTTGAAAACATATGTTAAGTGCAAGAGCTCAGACACAAAAGACCCCATATTGTATAACTTCATTTATATGGAATGTCCAGAGTAAGCAAATCAATAGATACAGAAAGTGTGTTAGTTATACTTTCCAGTGACTAGGGGCAAAGGGAAGGATGAGCAGTGACTGCTAATGGAGATGAAGTTTCATACTGGAGTGATGAGAATGTTCTGGAATTAGACAACAGCAATGCTGCACAACTTTGGGGTTTATGCTAATGAACTGTGTAGGTTAAAAAGGTTAATGTTATTATACGTGAAGTATATCTCAATTAGAAAATAAAACTAATTCCTGAGTGTCAGAACCAAAGACAATGTCAAAGAAGTGACAGCCACTTCTCAGTTTCTGAAAAAAAAAAAAAAGTGCCCTCTCAGTGCTGCCTTTGAATCCTTGGAACAAGGGACCCCCATTGATTGCAGGTATAAGTTATGCATGGTACCGCTATTACAGAGAAGCTCTTATGTTTAGCCAGATTTTAAAATGGGCATTAATGTAAACACTACAAGATGAAGTTTCTGTCCTTAAAGAATTATAGTCAACTTTCTCAGTATTCAATATGCTTGTTTTGGGTTCTATAAGTTAGAAGTCTAACCAGTCACAAGAAAATAGCACATAGACATTAAGAATAAAGGATTAGAATAAGAAAGGCTAATAAAAGGCAGATAGAGATAGAGGGAAGAAACCAATTTAACAAAGCTAATATAATTTTTTAGATTTCAAAAAGCATATAAAGCCAAAACCGGTTTGGCTCAGTGGATAGAGCGTCAGCCTGTGGACTGAATGGTCCCGGGTTCGATTCCGGTCAAGGGCATGTACCTGGGTTGCGTGCACATCCCCAGTAGGGGGTGTGCAAGAGGCAGCTGATCAGTGATTCTCTCTCATCGATGTTTTTAACTCTCTATCCCTCTCATTTCCTCTCTGTAAAAAATCAATAAAATATATATTTTTTAAAAAGCATATGCAGAAGTTTCTCTATCAAAATAGTAGTCTTATGTTTTGTTAAAATATGGAATATTCAGTTATCCCATGATAAAAGAATCAAATCTTCTTTTCATTTTTTATGTACATGTTATATCACATTAATTAATTAGTTATCTACTTTCACTCCAAGTCAAGAATAGGTTGTTTTTCCTGTATAGGCCAAAACGAAATGGTCTGAAATAATAAATGAGAGGTCACATCTTTATTTTCAGACTTTCTTACTTTGAATTAAATAGCCAGAAGAAAATGAGTTTAAAAATGTTTATTATTACTAAAACTATCAATTCATCAGTAAGAAAAGCAAAAATATATTAAAATCTTTAAGTTAAGTCATTCCAAAAGTGGGCTTTGTTGATAGACATTATTAAATTAAACCAGCCCTGCTAATAAATATATTTTTAATATTCTAGTCTGGTGAATTAATCCTTATATCCAGCAGAGGGTGCTAGAGGAACATCAACATGCTATTCACAAATTTTCCCCCCCAATAATACTGCCTAAGATTAAGTAAATAGTACAACAATCATAAACTGTCTCATCAGTATCCAATCCTAATGTAATCAACAAAGTAAGGGCAGAAGACATAATAGAATTCATATTAAAACACAAAATCCAACACAAATTCATATATAAAGTCAATTTAGCTAGATATGGGTTTGCCTGTAATACAAATATTACACTATGCATGTGTTCCCTAACACTATGCACAGCAGAGTTCTTTATATAACAGAATAGTCACATAATTTATTCATTATTATCTGGTTCTTATGTCCTTTCCTACTGCAATATACTGCCAAGAGATTTTTATTTCAGTAAATACTAAGTATTCACCATACCTTTTTTTAATGACATATCTCATTAAATCACACTAAGCCCAATTAATTAGGTAATCTGCACTTAAGAAAAGTGAGTATTCATTATCTGAAGATGGAAATACAGAGAATGATGTCCCCTGTCCAATCCTTTGATACATGTTGTCTTAGCATAACACAGGGCATGAGCTGCAAGCTCCAATTCAGCAACAGAATTAACCAAACATATTGAGACATTTGTTCTCCACACATCTGTTTCCATGGCTTCCATGGACCTGTTCCAAAGTTTCACAAAAGTTATGAAATCGTGTGCATTTGCTGAAAAAAGTACCTACTACATTATTTTCTCCTCAAGTAGAATATACCCAGCTCAGAGGATATATGTGAACTGCAAGGAATTAGGCAGTAAAACTCTGATAGTCCACTAAAATGGACATCAAGAAAAACGGGATACTGCTTCCTGCCTATCGCTGCCTCCACGAGCTCCCTGGAATCCTTGCAACCAACCCCATTAGCATGTCTCAGGCAGAGTTTCACAAGTCGCTAAGGATGTTAAAGCACAAGACCACGCCATCAGACAAGCAGATGCTTGTTCACCTACAGCACTACAAACAAGCCACTGGATGCTGGACCTCAAAAGCAAGGCCAAGTGGGATGTCTGAAATGAGCAGAAAGGGACTCCCAAGGAAGGTGCCATGAAAGCTTACATCATCAGCTTTTATTTACAAACTAGTAGCCCTGCACACCAATCCGTGTGCGGGGCCTGGTCACTCTGCGCGGACAGCCCAGAGGCCTATCTGCGGCTGGGCGGGGAACATTGCCTCATCACCAGAGCAATGAGACAGGCATTCCCCTGCACCCACTGGCAGTGGCCACTCCATGCCCAGAGGCTCTCTGCAGCTGGGGTGGAACACTTGCCTCATCACCACAGCAATGAAGCAAGCATTCCACCAGGCCACTCACACTGCCCACACTCAGCAGTTGTCTCCCTCCCCACTCCCCGCCCTCCCCAACTGGGGGACTCCAGTGGGGCTGAGCGGACTGGGTGCCACCATCTTGTGGTTATGGGTGCTGCCATCTTTGTGATGGAGTGATGGTTAATTTGCGTGTTACCCTTTTATTAGATAGGATAAAAAAAACTAAAGAAGAAATATGGAATATAGGGACTGGATTTGGCTGTCAGCCGCACTTTTCATCTAAACTGTTACCATGCCTTGTTTTTCTCACACTACAGATTAAGTAATGAAATAAACCCTCTTTCTCCATACTGTCCAGGATACGAGTCTAACAGATTAGGGGCTGAAATGGTTACTGACATTGCAGAGCAGTTTAGATCAACTAAAAGTGCATTCAAAAATAAAGAAAGTAAAAATAGGGAAGGAAGTATCACACAAGTACAAACTAATTAGAGATTTCTCAGTAGTGTGAAATTTCTCAGATATGGCACTGTTTCCAAACAGTTGCACAAAGTTTACCCCAGAATGTCAACAGCTATCTAAATAGAAAGTGGCTGTGTATTTAACTGTTTTTCCAGATTTTATCACCTGATATTTCCATTAATGGACATTTTTGCAAATTACCAATATAGTAATAACCCATATTCAAAAAGATGATTCTAAGGGATTGAGTCATCACAGACAAAGTCTATAATGGTTACTTTAGTGGTAAGGATAGTTTGTTATATTTTAGTGACTGTAACTAAATTTATTATATGTGCATTGATAAATAATTATAATACTAATT